TAAGACTAACTGGCCTATAGTTTACCAGGTCCTCCTTCCTCCCCTTTTTGAAGATGGGAACCACATTGGCCCTCTTCCAGTCCTCTGGCACCACACCAGAGCACCACGAGTGCTCGTAAAGCCGTGGCAGAGGTCCCAGCTAATTCCCTCAGCACCCTGGGGTGGAGATCATCTGGACCAGCTGACTTGAATACATCCAGTCCCTCCAGAAGTTCCCTAACTAGATCCTCACTAACCCTTGGCCTAAGTGCACCTCCCCGGGATCTAAGGGGGGCCCAGAGTGGGGTGGCTGTTCCCATCTCTGCTCAGGAAAATGGAGGCAAAGAAGTCCTTAAATAGGTTAGCTTTGTCATCCGGTGTGACTACCAAATTTCCTAGCATGTCTTGCAGGGGCCCCATGTTACCCAGAACCTTCTTTTTGCTCCCTATGTATTTAAAGGCAGTGCTTGTATTAAAGGCAGTCACTTGTATCAGAATTTACTCTTTTAGTAAATGGTATAGCATGTGTGTTTATGTGCTAAACGAAGCCCCCTCTTCATTTATTGTAACAATGCTTAACATATCTGTAAAGCAGCCATGTGAAGGGATAACTCCAGCCTAAGAGAAACTTTATTCCAGTGGCATAACTAGAGTGGGACACCCAGGGAAGCTGCCCCGGGCACCAATTTGGGGAGGAGAGTACAGCTGCACAAGTCATGCCACTGACATAGTGGTAACCGGAAGTCACTGCTACCCCTGTGCGTGCCCTGGGTGCCCAGCCATGTTACGCCTCTGCTTTGTTCACACTTCAGTACAGTAATTCTTTCTCTTCTAGTCAGGTAACTATGTCATTTGTATAAAGACCATCACACACAAATCCCACTGTGATCATCTGCTGAATGATCTTGAAAGAATATCCTAATTGCCTGCTGAAGCATCCCTGCGTTCTTTCTAGTAGTAAGAATTAGTGACCAGTGGAAGGTCTTTACTGCTCAGGTGAAAGAGTGATAGTCTTGGAATGAAGATATGGGGGTTTCATTCTCTATCTGGTCAGTTACTGGGCAGTGAAAACCTGACGCGTGGTGTAGTTACTCATGTACAGTTGAGGTTTTGAAGCTAGAGTATAAACTACATTGTGCAAGTAATGATTTTTTGTCTGAATCCTGCCATTAGATAAGCTGTGAAAAATCCCCCTTTTGTATGATAGGAAGTGGTTTCAGCTCTGGAAATAAATTTTGATCTCACTTTCTGTAGATTAGACTCACTACCCACCTGCATGGGCTTCTGGGTTAACTGCTGCAAACTTGTCATTCTGGCTGAAGGCAGTCAATGAGGGATCGTAATCTTAGTCCTGTGGTTTATTTGCAGGACATCTTTTGTAAGGGGGAGTTTCACTTTTTCCAGCCACATGAGGGATGACCAAGCAAGAAAAAGAAGCAATGCCTCCCCCTTTTTATCTCATGGAGTTATTCTTTGCCGGTCCTTTGCTCCTGTTAATAACCATCTATAATTCATAGCATAGTCCCCTTTCTCCTGCCATGTCTTGGCAGACGTTTTATGTGGCTGTCTCTTTAAGCCTGCTTCTTACCTCTGATTTTCAACTGTGGGAAGGAGCTTTGGATATGAATGTCCTAGTCTTTCAAGCAAATGTCATACCTAAACAATACTGAGGTTAAACCTCAGTGCAACTTACTTGTGTCTCATCTGTTAAAGTTCATAGGGATTGGCCAACAAAGTTCAGTTTGCTGTACAGAAAAGCTTCCCTTACCTCACTTCTGCTTGAAAATGCAACAATATGTGTTGATTGGCTGTGATGATAATTCATTCTCTAGGCACCGATTGTTGGGGGCTAGAGAATGAATGTTACACTTGATTTCTCAGTTCCCAATTTTTTCCCCATCCCCTGATGCTTTGCAGAAAAGATTTAATACTGATTTAATTCAGTAGAGAGGTTAATTATTTTGCTGCTTGCCTCTCTAGTGTTTATCCGTTATCTTTTAGAGTGGAGTTCCTTGCTGCTATCTTGGACTTGGATTGAGTTTTCTCTTCCAGGTCTCTTAGGGTGTGATTTCCTCATCTGGGATTTGGGACCAGTATCTGGGAAGACCGACAAATGTGGTTACTTTTTTTGTTCCGTTTGTTAAATCTGGTATCAACAGAAGTTGTTTTTGTCTTTGGGTTTGTCACAAACAGGGTGTCTTCCCCAGCTTCTTAATAGAATTTTTCTATTCGTGTCTTGTTGGCCTGGGTAGATCAACTGCAGCAGGGAATCAAGTATTTGTTACCTATGTACGCTAAGCTGCATTGTTTACACCCCTACACCCATCAGAGAGCTCCCCTTGTTTTGAATATGGATTGCCAAGGGCAGGATTGGGGTTATCTTCCAGTACTGCAACATCCAGTGGCACTTTAAATGCTGATTACCTGAAATTGTGGGTGGGGAAATTCTTTATTCATTCTGAACTGGTTGGCCCACAACACAGAATAAATTGACCATTTGTAAATGTATTGATATTCTGCAACAGCAATAACCAGTTTGTGCTGTTGGCTTACTACCTGGCTAGATGAGAGGGGCTGTGATGCTGGGTTTTTTTTCAGTCCACACAATTTGACTGGGGTTATGCTCTCATTTTTCTAGTTCTTGAGCATCACTTCATCAGTAAAGACCTCCAGATGGGCCACAACTAGACTCTTACAGAGGGTGAGACTGTCAGTCTGAAACATGGTCTGCAGATATGAATGAGCTCTCGCTTGAGGGGAGCAGTGTGCTACAGAGCAGTGGCAAGGGCACTTTGGGCTGGCATGATGGGTTTCTGCATTTTTTTAACTTCTGTTGTTGCTAACCCTTATCTAAATGTCTTGTGTCCCTCCAGCTGTGGTTCCCCTATTAAGGTTTCAGAAGTGAAGCTGCTCTCCTTTTCATCAGGGCAATTAACTGTGTTCCTCCCAGCAGAGGTGAAGTCTATAGGGACAGAGACAGATCATGTGCTGCCTTTGCAAGAGCTGGCCATGAGGATTCTGTATAACACCTACTACGGGTTTTTAAAAGGTATCCTAATTGCTTTTTAACATCCTTCAGAGTGTGAAAAAACCAGGAATGTTTTTCAGAGATAACAATAGCATTTATATAGCTCTTCAAAGAACTGTGCAAACATTAATGTCTTACAGCATTTATTCAATCAAATTACATTTTAAGTGATAAAGTACAGCAAAAAAAGGAGTTGGCTAAATGCCTCTGCTAAATGCTGTGCTCCAAAGGTAAAGTGGTGTTTAGAAATGTTTTCTTGGGGACAATGTAAAAAGCATGCAGGCTTTTCACAGTCTGCAGCATAGAAGAAACTGCCTTTAATGGGGAAAGGAGATGGAGAAATATTATCCTGAGGCAAGAGGGGATGCATCATCCAACAATGCAGCTCCTTGCCAGGCAACACACTCCTAAACTGGCAGACTTATTATACATAAGGCAGAAGAAATGCTAGCAGCTGTTGGCCATTTCAGTACAAATTGACAGCTGAGCTGTTTTAGTTCTGCCCCAGTTCAGACTCTTTGTTGAAAACTGGCCCGTGGCTTTAGTTATACATCATGTTACTACATGAAATACCGGGGTTGAGTATAATTTAGGAATTTGGGCTTTGTCAGAGATTTGAGAGGGTTGTAGAGCTCTCCTGTTTAGCACCTTGGGAATGTGTGGACTCCTAGACAGAGTCGAGGTGTTGGAAGTAAAGGAGGGTACAGTGAAAAAGTGGATGGGATTCACTGATATGAGTCAGTTTGCTGGCATGAACTAGCGCCTTTTGTCCAGGGAAGTGTACAAGAGCTGACATTCTTCTGCTTGGGATCCCCTGCCACCAACATTTTTGTTCAGGCTAGTGATGAAGGGAGATATTAGAGTGGGACAAACGTAAGCATGTGTCACATAGGAAACAATGCTGCACTGCTGCAGAGTAAAAAAACGACCGGTTTAGGGGCTGTGCATTTTTTTTTATACTTGTTAGTTAATGGGTAAAAAAGGGATGGTGGTTAAATAGAAGACTTACAACAGCAGAAGTGTAGACCAAAAAGATGGCATTTCATTTTATTTGCAGATTTCTAATCTCTGTGCTGACAGGGGCCGGAAACTTGAGGCACAAAGAGAGCAGAGTTCGTGTCCTTTTTAGGTCACAGGTGATTGTAATCTTATCACATTTATGGTGGTGACTTATCCATGTCACATAACCACTCTGCCATGTGGCATGACTATAACTCTAAAGTCGAGCAGGTTTTTAGGCTTGGAAAAGCAGGATAGTATTTCAGGATCAGCTTGAGGTGCTGAGGGAGAGTTACAGACTTATGGCTAGAAGAACTGTTTTGTTGGAACCAGGTTTTAGATCTTGACTTGGATGAATCTGATGAGGCTTCTGATTAATTGGGTTGTAATTTACTGTTTTGAATCAGGGAGTGATCAGTTGTTTGTCTTTTGTGCGAGTTGCGGCTTTGCCCTGGGGTGATTCTTCTTTGAAATACGTCAGTAAAATAATACTAGCTTCCTTCATAGAGCCTTGTATTGCTAATTATTGAACAGACATTGATGGAACAAGTAGCCTCCCTTTTGTTTGATTAGTTTGATATAACAAGTGCACTTCCCTAAATCATCCATGCTTTCAGTTGGAGTCAGTTGACACCTTTGCTGTTTAGAAATGCTTTATTACTTACCATTCATTTATTTGCTTGAGAAGTATCTTCACCTGGATAATTGGGTCTAATTGTTCCTATACCTGCAGTTTTACTCAGAAACTCCATCAAGTGCTTCACCTTATTTGTAGATAATTTGCTTTTGTTCACTACTCCTTAGATAGGGGCCAGATGTTTTTGAGAGGATTAGTGGGATACAACATTTGCTAAGGGTGCATGGAATGTGATTATTGAGCTTGACCTTATGAATTTGGTTTGTTACAGATCTGATGCTTTCTTGTGTTTCTTTTCTTCCCTAGATTTCAACTTCCTGACGCCAATCTCATTACCAAAAAGTCTCTTGGAATTGCTGCACTGCCCTCTGGGACACTGTCACCGCTGCAGCCAGCCCATGTTTACTATTGTCTACCCAAAGCTCTTTCCCTTGAGAGAAACTCCAATGGCGGGGCTGCACCGGGGGTAATTGCACTGCAAATTACACTGGCGTTTCATACCTTACATGGGATCCATTTGGGAGGAAAAACATCTTTATGGAGCCCAGTGTTGTCTTAAAGATTTTCTCTCTTTTTTTTTTTTTTTTGCTTGGGAGTCTTAAAGGGCATTTTTAGACGTGTGTGACGTAGCGCCAGGTGCTGCGTCACATCGTTTTGTATAAATGGCGAAATGCGTGCTAGCGCTGAGAAAGTGGCGGCAATGAGCTTTTGAATTAAAACACATTAAAGGTGTTTTAGTTCAAAAGCGGACCACCGCCATTTTCTCAGTGCTGACATGCTTTTCGCTGTTTATACAAATTCATGCAATGCGGAGCTGGGTGAGCCTGCTCCGACTCACTGGATCTCTGGCGCGTCGCAGCATGAAAAGGTACAGGATATGTATAAATGCCCAAAGATTTTAAAAAGTGATTGGGGTTCATAGTAGAGGTGATATCTTTTATTAGACCAACAAGATTTTTGCAAAAAAATTTGCGCACGCACTGTGGCTCTAATTAGAGATAACACACAACAAATAAGTGAGCATACACTTTTGCTCTCTGCTCCAGGGGGACATTTCTGTTGTGTAGAAGATGATGCTATGTTCATAGGGCAGTGTAGAAGAGTCTAGGATTTTTTGCAAAAATCTTGGTTGTCTAATAAAAGATATCACCTCTACCCTGATTGCTTTTTCCTCTAGATCAATATGGCTACAACCTGGACACCTAACACACAGATTTTAAGTCCTTTTTCTGAGCACTCCTGTAAAAGGTGGTAGATGTATTGCTTCCAGGGTACCCAAGCTTGCTATCTTAAGTCTGTTAACAAGAGGAACAAATCGTTTGGTATAGGTTGTTCTGCAATGAAAGTAATCTTATATCTGTGTTCATGTCCACCAGTCCAGAACAGCCTGAAGGTGGCAATAGCTGTTGTAAAGCTAATAGCTTTGCTATTATGGTACTACATTATTCCTGATAGAACGGCGTGTGGATGATCAGGAAATCCAGTGGGAGAATTTTCTGTGCTTCAGGCAGAAAATATTGCCAGACATCAGCCCTTTACTGAATATGTTCGCTCCATGTGTGAGGCAAAGGAAATGCTAAATAAAAAGCTGCACAGCACAGTTCCTTTTTAAGACTAAAAGAAAGGACAGAAAAACAAGCATTTCATCCTTAGTCAGAATGAATTTAAAATGTTCTGCCACTGAAGCACTCGTCCTAAATATTAGGAACTTGGCGCATGTGGACAAAGACTTCTGTGCTGTAGGAAGAACGGTGCTAGTGAAATATGGTTTTACAAGTGTAGTGAGCCAGACAAACCTACATATATTTCTTGCTGTGCCTGGTCACACAATCACAAACTAGGGAGAAAAAGGGAAAGCATGGCTCCTCAGGTGGAGATGTGGAGTAACTTCAGGGTGAACATGGGTCACTTTGTAGTGGTCTTCCAGCACTACTTGCTAGTCTGAGCTGTGGGAATGGATGCCAGACCAGTCTAGTTTTGGCAAAAGTCTGATTTCTGTAGTAGCAAAAGTACTCTGTGAACATTTTCCAGTCAGTTCTGCCTGCACATTCAGATCCCAGATCTACTAACTTTGAGCTCAGTCTTTTGTTTTTTTAAATGTCAGCGGAAGATGATGGCAGGAGTGATTTTGTCTACCTTCATTCTTCTATCTCCACTCCACCCAGTTGTGGTCACCTGATCTCTTGGGAAAGATATTGGTTGCATGTCCTCTCTCCCTAAGAGTAAACAACACGCTTGCTGTTTGGTGTAGATTATAAGGATGCTAAGGGAGGAGGAAAATGTTCATTTTCAGCTCCTAGTAGGGCGTGCTGGTCACTCTGTGCACCCAACATTATCAGAGGTAAGTTTAGCATCTACCCGTGATGAATGGGAAACAAGCATGTGCAGGTGCTTCCCTTCTGCCTGCTGTCAAATGATGTTTAGAGTCAGTGAAGAGAATTGGTAGCAACATCCTGTTCTCATTACCCCCCGCCTGGATCCCCCGGGAGACCTCTCCAGAATTTGTTTTGAATTGAGGTTCTGCTCATATTTGTGTCTGAAAGCAGGCTCCGACACAGTGCACACCCTGTGGCTCTGGTTATAGATAACACAGAGAATAAGCAAGCATACACTTTTGCCCTGTGCTCCAGGGGGACATTTCTGTTGTGTAGAAGACTATGCTGTGTTCATAGGGCAGCGTAGAAAAGTCTAGGATGGGTGGGCAAAATGTGGCCTGTGGGCCAGATGCGGCCCGCCAGGCCATTCCATCTGGCCTGCGGGACTGCTAAAAAATTTAGAAAATTAATATTTATCTGCCCCTGGCTGCCTGTCATGCGGCCCTCGATGGCTTGCCAGAACTCAGTAAGTGGCCATCCGCCCAAAATAATTGCCCGCCCCGGTGTAGGATTTCCCCTCCCCACCCCTATAAAATAGGTTAATAATTGGACAATGAGGACGTGAGACCAGAGGTAGCAGGTACAATAAAAATAAAGGGGAAAAAAAGACAAAAGATCCCTTTGCAAAATTTAATCCTGCAGTTCAAGATTTCTTAAATCTAGTCTGTTATAAAAATACTGCTTGACAACCAAATCTGACAGACAGGTTCTTGCCAGCAAAGACTCTTTTAAACAAGTCCTTAGACAGCCTTCACTTAAACAGTATGGAAAAGGAAGGCAGTTGATATAGGGCCTTTTCGAAAAGGGCACTTTGAATATACCACAGGCCAGTGAGTACCACTCTCCATTCCAACCCTATAGAAACCATTAGCAGCACACCAAAAAAAAAGTTGCTTTTCAGTAGGAAATTTTTAAGAAAACAAACCAGAAAACTCTGATTGCTGATTCAAATAGATAGTACCATTTTTCTCTAATTCTATTGCAGCCTCTTGTGCTGTGGCTTGTGACATAATACTTCTCTGATTTGTAAGCAGTACAGCTTTATGAAGTGTAAACAGCTTGTGCATATCAAATTTGGGCACCAGCCAGAAGGCTGCATACATGCTATTTTGGAAAAGGCATCTCCTTTCTTAGAAAGCTCTTCTGATTGTAAGCATAGCACTCTTCATCTTGCTCTTCTGTTGCAGTTCTGACTGTCATATGTTTAAACTGCAGTGGATTTTCATGTAGTTTCAGTTAAATTCATTTCCAATTTTTAGTCATTATATTTAGAGCACCACAAGAGGTTATACTAAGATGTAGGGGATGAAATTAAGGAAAAAATCAAGTGGTAATGCATTTCTTCCAGGCAGCGGGGTCTATTAGAGCGTGGTATAATGTTCAAAGGAGGTGGTAGAAATCTTATTGTTGGGGAGCATACAACTAAAGTGGACAAACCACGAAGGTTGATATTTATTTTATGGAACAATATTGCCATGGGAGGGGATGGATTAGATTCTTGAAAGGGTGGAAGAGAACAGATTTCTATGGCTATTATAGAAGTATAATTATGAGCCCATGGACATATTTGACACACACCCCTATTCACCAGGGATTATTACAAATCTTGCTGTGCTGAAGTTTGCCATGTAAAGTCTCTTCATGAAAGAAATTATTATTGCAAATGTTAAAAAACAATACCATATTTTCCCCTGCAAATTACATTTTGCTATTGACAGTTCAGTGTTCTAGTCCCTTCTGTTCCCTTAAATGTCTCTTCTTTCATTTAAAATTTTCATTATTGCTTTTTACTTGTAGCTTAATATTTCCAAGACTTCTAGTTTATGCAGACACCCATCACTTCCCCTGGCCCAGAATGAATTGTGTTCTAGAAAAACCACAGATAACTTTCATCTACTGTAAAGTTATGACGTAAACCCATAGACATTCAGACTTAAGGGTTGTTCTTACTTTTGCAGCACTTGTACTTCCCTGGTAAGATTGTCATTAATGGAATCCCTGTCATGGTAGGGTTTTTAGAAAGACGTGGGAAGACAAGATCTCCATCCTAATGAGTTTATAATCTCAGGCTGGGGACAGATGCAACTTTCAGCTGGTTTAAAAGATGAGCTAAGGGATTGCCATTCAGGAGGGCACATCAGTAGGTACGATATCACTACTACATCTGTATGCTGCTATAGCAATATAAATAAATTAAGTGGCTATAATGGTTTTTACTACACTCATGGAGCATGCAATATAAAGTTACATCATAACCGCCTCTATGTACCCATTGCATCCAATATGTGCATGGTTGTTAGGTCTACCGGCCCTCTCAATCTACAGACACAGGGTGGCAGGGATGAGTGTTTGAGCAGTGCTGGTTAGTACATGTCATCATAGTTCCACAGTTGCTCAGATTTTCTCTTCTGGGAGGACAAGGTTTTACTGACTTCTAAAAAGATACAGCACTTTGGGTGAGGAAGGAGGGTTGAGAAGTGATGGGACTGGGTTTTCATGTACAAGGAGGGTATATATAGTCATTTCTCTATAAAACAAAGGGCAAAGTGCTACTTTGGGATTAAAAATCCTTAAGCAGTTCTCTAGTGGTGCTATGGGAGAAAGAGAGTCGCAGTTGAATCGGGCACTTTTGTTTTTTCATGTGGAGATGCATATTGCATAGAACAGACATGGCCAACCTGTGGCAGGGGGGCACAAGGCATGAGCAGCCTCTGTGTGTGGGACTCAGCAGATCGGGAGGGGACAGCACAGCAGCAGATAGGGCAGGAAGCAGAAAGCAGAGCAGCAGGTCAGAGATCAGAATGGTATACAAGGTGGGCATGGGACTAATTTGCATCACGCCTGCCAAAAAGGTGTGGTCCCCAGTGGTATCTAGCACAGTACAGTACAGTAATGGAGCCCACAGGCTATCCTTTTTGAAGATCCATTCTCCACTCCTTGTTTACACGGCGGGTGTATATCCAGCTGAACCGCTGCTGGGTTCTGGGAATTGAGTTATTTCATGCCTACACGCAGTAAAACACGAGAAAAAAGTGAGTCAAGGACTACTCCAGATATTTTCCTTTTAGTTGTTAAACCTGCTGGCAATAACATTCAGCCACACCCTCTGGAAAGAGAAAAGCTCTTGATGTATTTATAAACCAAATTTTGAATATCTTTTGTTTAGATACCTTAACCAGGGCTAATCCTCTATTTTCACAATCCAGAAAATTGTCTGCTATGGAATGAGGCCAGTCACTTCAATCTTGAGCTGACTACTGTTTCTCTTCTGTCTCTTCTTTCTTTTCCAGGAGGACAACTGTTAGTTTTGTGGCATACTGCTGCTCCACCCAGTGTCTCCAGACTTTTGACCTACTGAGTTGATAAACACTTAAAGCTACTCAGCAGTGTTGCCAGCTTAAAGCTGCATTAGACAGCACATCCCATTGGTACTGGAATACTGTATGTGTGCGTGTGTGCCAAAGCAGCAGAAGTGCCCAGTCAGGGACACAGAGGAGCATTTAAATCCTGCCCTATCAAATTTGTACAAACAGCAGAAACTTTTTGGAAATGTAACGATCAAGCTTTTGCAAGGATTAACGCCTTCCCTTTCCTCCGAGGCGCAACAGAAACCAAAAGGATTCCAAGGAGCCCCACCTGCCGTACTGTTTTTAGGGGCTTTTCATGTGACTTGACGTACTGCAATGCATCACATCATCAGAACCAGTTTTAGTTGCTTTAATAATATTAAGCTGACCTGTACTTTAAAACACACTGACAAACAAAAAACAAAATCTTCTGTTGTGACCATCCAGTTTTTGCTGATTTATCTGTAATTTCCTCTGAGTACAGTTGGATTCATGCATATGCATCCACACACCCTCAGCACCCATCAGTCATCCCATAAGCCATTTTTTCCCATCTCTTCCTCCAGTCAAAATAGTTTTCCCCATAAAAGTGCTATCACGACTATAGATTTGAGCCTGTGACAACAGACTGAGGTGTTTAATTCTGTGTGCTAAGAACACCTTGTTCTTTCAAGAGTTACTCCAAGATACTGAGCCTCCGTTGAGGCATAGGTGGGGAGCATTGAGAGCCTGCAGCTGATGTGACCTGCTTCACATACTCTCTGAGCAGGTGCTCCAGCAGGTTCGAGGAGATGCTTTGCTTGTAACACTTCGGTTTTTTAAATGCAGCACATCTTGTGCTCTTTTTGAGGAAAAACACTTAAAATTCATGTTTTATTAGACAAAAATATGAGGATACATATTGATTTATTGTGGACTGATGAAAATCCTAGAGCACTGTGACTTGTAGATAGCTGGTTCCTTTATCTTGGGGTTCACAGTTTGGCTGGTTTCAAATTAAAAAAAAAAAAAGGGATTGGTGAAGTGTCTTAACATTAGGGGAGGTTGAGAAGGGAAAAAACAGGTGGTCAAATATATTTACAAAAGGGCTGTCCATACTTCTTAGCATATTCAGAGCAAGTGAGGCTCACCTGGGCCTAGAGTGAGTGAGGATTTAGTTAGGGAGCTTCTGGAGGGGCTGGACATTTTTAAGTCAGCCGGCCCGGATGATCTTCACCCTAGAGTCCTGAAGGAACT